TGGTTATATGGAGGTGACGTGGATGTAAAACGTGGCCATTTCACGGGAAAACGAGGACGGAACTCCTCCAAAATTCTCATTTTTTTATTCTTACGGTAAAAAAAAAAAGCAAACAAACCCACATTTGGTATCTAGATTTAAAAAAAATAAATGGGGAGGGGGGTCCCTACGTGCTGTGCTTCTGCCTCTTCCAAAAACGTTTGACGTCGGGGTGACCTCCTGGGGTCACCACCATGAGACGTCGCGTGGGGTTTTCGAACATCAACACCCCCAAAGACCTGGCGTGGTCACGAAGAACCTCAAAGTCCACCTGGGATAGGAATTGGTTGTAGAGCACTCCTAAAAATTTGGGGGGGAAGGAGAGAAAAAGATGGGGGGACGATGAGGATTTTTTTTAGAGAGGGGGTGGCATCAAGGCTTGGTGGTGGCGTCGATGCGTGGAGATGGACACAAAGATGTCACCAACCCTTGGGGATGGACCCAAAGATGCCACCAACCCTTGGAGATGGAACCAAAGATGCCACCAACCCTTGGAGATGGCACCAAAGATGCCACCAGCCCGTGGAGATGGTCCCAAAGATGGCACCAAACCAATGGAGATGGAACCAAAGATGCCACCAACCCCAAAGATGCCACCAACCAATGGAGATGGACCCAAAGATGCCACCAATCAATGGCGATGGACCCAATAATGCCACCAACCCATGGAGATGGCCCCAAAGATGCCACCAACCCATGGAGATGGAATCAAAGATGCCACCAACCCTTGGAGATGGACCCAAAGATGCCACCAACCAATGGAGATGGACCCAAAGATGCCACCAACCCTTGGGGATGGACCCAAAGATGCCACCAACCCATGGAGATGGCACCAATGATGCCACCAACCAGTGGTGATGGCACCAATGGTGGCGTCGACGCGTGGAGATGGACACAAAGATGCCACCAACCCATGGAGATGGACCCAAAGATGCCACCAACCATTGGAGATGGCACCAAAGATGCCGCCAACCCTTGGAGATGGAATCAAAGATGCCACCAACCCTTGGAGATGGACCCAAAGATGCCACCAACCCTTGGAGATGGACCCAAAGATGCCACCAATCAATGGAGATGAACCCAATGATGGCATCAACCAATGGAGATGGAACCAAAGATGCCACCAACCAATGGAGATGGACCCAAAGATGTCACCAATCAATGGAGATGAACCCAATGATGGCATCAACCAATGGAGATGGAACCAAAGATGCCACCAACCAATGGAGATGGAACCAAAGATGCCACCAACCCTTGGAGATGTCCCCAAAGATGCCACCAACCCTTGGAAATGTCCCCAATGATGGCACCAACCCATGGAGATGTCCCCAGTGATGGCACCAACCCTTGGAGATGTCCCCAATGATGCCACCAACCCTTGGAGACGTCCCCAAGGATGCCACCAACCCTTGGGGACACCTCCATGGAGGCCACCAACCCTGGGGACCCCACTGTCCCCCCTCCTCACCCTCGGAGAAGCGCAGTCGGTCCCTCTCCAGCTCCCAGAGGCGGATCTGGTCGGTGATGGTGGGGGGCAACACCGGGCTCTGTGGGGTTATGGGGCACAGGGACAGTGTGGGGAGGGGTCCTTTGGGGGGGGGTCCTCCCCACATTTTGGGGTCCCCTCTCCTCCCAATGCTCACCTGCTTGGCCATGATTGGATGCGCCCGCGTGCGCAGGAAGTGGATAATCTGGGGTGGGGGGGGGAGAAAGGGGGATTTTAATGGGAGACCCCAATACCCCATGGGTCACCCCAATACTCCACGGGTCACCCCAGTGCCCCATAGATCAACCCAACACCCTATGGGGCCGATCAGAATCCCCGTGGGGCACCCTGATATCCCATAGTGCACCCCAAGGTCCTCAGCACTGCTATGGGGTGCCCCAGTGCACCATAGAGCACCCCAATACCCCATGGCTTACCCTATAGGGCACCCCAACACCCCCAAAGGGCATCCCAACACCGCATGGCGTACCCATAGGTCACCCCAAAACCCTACAGGGCACCCCAACACCCCATAGGGCACGACAGCACCCCATGGCTTACCCCATAGGGCACCCCAAGACCCCATAGAGCACCCCAAGACCCCATGGCTTACCCACACCCTATAGGGCACCTCGACACCCCATGGCTTACCCCATATGGCACCCAACACCCCATAGGGCACCCCAGGACCCCATGGCATACCCTATAGAACACCCCAACACCCCATAGGGCACTTCAACACCCCATGGCTTACCCTATAGGGCACCCCAACACCCCATAGGGCACCCCAAGACCTCATGGCTTACCCAGTAGGGCACCCCAACACCCCATGGCTTACCCCATAGGGCACCCCAGCACCCCATAGAGCACCACAAGACCCCATGGCTTACCCTATAGGGCACCCCAAGACCCCATGGCTT